CAGCGCCGGGCTGCTGCCGCCCGCTGCAAACCCGGGCTGCCTGCGGGGGGAAACGCGTAAAGGAGACCTGCACATCTGAGCGGAGCACTTCCTAGGCTAATATTTGCCCGGGAAAGAGCTGCTGCCGTAGTTGTTTTTAATTTCCAGACAAAGAGAATAAAATTAAAATATTCCTGACGAAGTTTCCGTTAGCGTCGCTCTCCCTGGGCCGACTGGGAACGCAGCCACGCAGGCAAAAACTGACTTCCTTGTGCACACATCATTTGAGAAGGCCTAGTGGTAACTGGGATCGTCCCTCTCTTATTTATTAAGAGAAAGAACAAAAATTCCTGTAGTTGTTAAGGTATTTCCCCTCGTAGCCTGGCAGCTGAATCTCTCCGTCGTTCGTACTTGGAGTCCTGCTAAGAAAAAGAAAAGCGAGCCAGAAATTGGCCCGGGCGGTCAGTAAACCCTCGTTAAAACCGGAGCCATCGAGCTCCGGAGCAAGCAGGGGTATTTTGGCAGGGAAAAGCGGTAGCTGCGCGGGTTGCAGCTGTAGCGGCGGGGGGGGGGCGCCCGGGGCAGGCCGGATGTACCGCGCCTTTGGTTTCCGCGGAATTTCTCCGTTCCCACGTCGAGCAGCTCTGCGCGGCCGTGGGTATTGCAGAGCCACGGCGAAAGGTGCCGGTGCCTCGGCCGAGGGACACGCTGCACGGGTGTGATATTCACGGGTGCGCAACTGCCAGAAGCAGCGTTTTAAAAAGACTCTACAGCTTTAGGAGTGCTTATTTTTGTTAGCTTTATTTTCGAGGCAGGTACAAGCAACACGGAGGCCACTGATGGAGGGCTCTGGCTACTCCCTGAAACAAAAATTGCGCAAGAAACACCCACAATATTCCGTCTCCGAGCCGAGCATTCCCTGTGGACAAGGGGCCGGTTTTAGTCTTTTCGAGTACTTTCCAAGAATCGGATTTTCCCTGTCGGTGCCCCAGGTCCGAGCGCCCTCGGGAAGGTTTTATGGGGGGCGGAGCCAACCCCTCCCGGGGAGGCTGCGGGCAGCCTGGGCGCGACGACAGCGCCCGGCGCAACCTGTGGGA